ATAATTTTTTATAATTGTAGGTGTCTAACCTACAATTATAAAAAATAAACTAAAATGATCATGACAAGGTGGATTAAAGTTCAATTAAACAAAACAATCTGTTTTTTGAAGACCGAAAAATCTATTTATTAAAGATGGCAGTTCAAACATGTTAAATATCAAAAGTCGAACTTTTGTTCGATTTCTGATATAATTGAGTATAATAGTATCAATATAATATAGTAAAACTTACGATTTGAACGCATTACATAGATGGAAAAATACAACTGTGGTGGAGGACTTTGCCTTCAGTACAAGGGAGCCATTTGCCCAGCAATTGATTATACATCTAGGCAAGTTCTTTATGCTTACAGTCAATAGACAGTATTATTTATTAAAATAAGTTAAGAACCACTACGATACTAGGCAATGTTTCTAAAAGGACTGCTAAAAATATAAGTAAGCTTAAGAAAAAAAGGTCGCGCATTCTGATAATTGATTAAAGTCGTCGTTGAAACATTTTGCTTAGAAAGGGAAATTATGATCTAATTACTTTATTTCGCTTACTTTCTGTTGATATCGCCTTATCGGTCTCCGTAGTGATTTTAATTCGTCCAACTTGTGAGAGTTTCTCGAATTTGAGACAATTATTCTTAATTGCCGCTCTTCTCTCAGGAGTTGGCGTCACCAGATTCCTGGAGACTTAGTCTTTATTGTCTGTTATTTGGAAAATTTACATTTTTAAGGCTAGTAATAATCCTTAAAGCCTGTATGACTCCTACAGGATCATTTAAGATGGAAGTTTGAATCGAGTTTTATATTTGCTTCCATTTTAAATAATTTTTGAAGTTATACTTCTATGATGTATCTTTCTTTATGAAATATCGTTTTTAATGCTATTTATATTTTTACGGCAAAAATGTATAGATTCCTATGTGCATACATAAGTACAAATATAGGTTTTAATGCAATTTCGTGGTTCTAATCTATATCCTACATTATGAGCTTTTGTTTAAGAAAACACTTAACTTTTGTAGAAGAAACTAATGGATTTCTTTCTTGAGAAAAAAGTTTAATAAAACATAAAAGATAGATTTATAAAAACGCTCTATGAACTCTACGATTTTTTATCCTTACCCTTAATATACTAGCAGTACATATAGTCTCATGTATCACAAAGAGGTCCTAATCACTAAACAAATTATTTACCGTGTACAGGAATCGAAAATACTATATTCTTGTACATTATTTTACATAGGTTCCTTTTCATCATTAAACAGACAACTTTGAAAATAACCTGAAATTAGACTGTATTCCGAAATCTAAGACAAAATAAAAAATAAAATACACATTAACTCTAAATTATTTCCCGCGTTGACAAATGAAACAGCTCTGACCTATTTTAATTTTTAATTCAAACTGTTGCAAAAAGGTCGTAATCCATGATTTATACATTTATGATTCGATAGAAAAATCCAACGTTTCAGCCTCAGCGGCGAACAAAAGAGTGACGATAAAATCATCCATTTCCAATTATAGGCGAAAACTCCACTGCAAATCCGACGGAGCGTGCTAAAAATGCGAAATGAATAGTAGCCGGTGTTTACAGCATATGGTCCTTACAAATGCAGCACCGAAATCTGTCAATGAAACGGGATAAATCATACGAATAAGCACAAAGCAAACACGATCAGCTCACACCGCAGGCATCGATGACGCGACAGCCAGCTAGATGCGGCATCTGTGTTAGCTGAACATCATAACTGTCCAATCGTACCGAGCTATCTGTGCGGCCACGCTGGCATTTACTGCACTGGATTTAGGCTACAAATTGCTTTGCCCCACTGTAAGCGCTGATCTGTCGGCTGGCGGTGATATTCGCGGATGGATTGGCACGTCCATTGATCGGATTATCGACCTTGATGCCGTTATATAGGCGCGCGAATGGCAAAACAAACACGAGCTGAGTCTTCGCGTGTAAGCATTTGAAGAGGCCAGATGGTGACAATATTGTTACGTCACGCATAAATTGCTTCGTTTGAACAATGGCTACGATCGCTATTCGAAACCGGCGAGAGATCGCGTCACAGTAATGACTTGCAGTGTAAAGCGCTTTATACTGAAAGCGTATCAAGGGAGGAACTGCGTCAATGATGATGTAAAAACTGTAATGATACGGCGTATTTTTATCTATTTTCAGATGAACGCTCGTGTTAGACCTTTTAATTTAGACGATTGACGTTTGCTGAGTTGTATTTTCTGTACTTTAAAGAGCTGGGGGCTTTTAAAACCGTCATTAAGGCTCAAGCATTTTTAAGTACCCAAGTGATTGTTTTATACGATGGATAAGTGACGACTAGATTCTGTCAATAATGGCAACTGCTAGCAAATTGTTACTATTATCTTCTATAAACATTCTACAGATAGTTCAATTGAAAACTCAAACACATTTTACAAGCAGAAACAATTATACAAAGATGGCGTGAAGCCTCGTGTTGTTCCAGTGGCTATAATATGAACTTGTGATTAGATTTAAGGTATGCGGTGTAAGGTTGAGTTGTGTAACAATTTTCTGTCATCGCTAGACGCAATCTTCTCTATAAATAAGTTAATAAAATAGTATACACAAGCTCCTTAAGCTTCTTAATGAATATACGTCGTAAATGTACTAAGGAGCTCGCAAATGTACTAAGAACGTAAAGACTAATTTTCTTTATCGTCCCCACGCCATTAAATGGGAGCCGCCTAAACAATCGGAAGCCGTTTCGAAAGTGCAAAAGGCCGCACAGTTGTCCGACAGGCGTGCGATGGACAATTTACGCATTCCGCGTGCGTACGGAACCCCGCGTGTAATTTAATTGCGCGGGACCCCGCCGCACAATGGCGGTTGATTGGCCGCGCGCGGAGTCCCAATCCCACTTCGAGTTTCACGAATCTTTCGTTTAGGCGGCGGATGATTCGATTAGGTGTGGCTAAGCGTCGGCTCGTAACCGTAACTTCGTAAGACGAAATCAAAACTATACACAAGTGACGGCACTTGTGTATAGTTTTGATTTCGTCTTTTGAGAAAACCTGAAGGGGACGTTCTACCAGTCAATGGCGAATCGAACATGACACAAGAACGACAAGAAAGTCTGAAACTTATCGAATGTGAGTGAAATAGTTATTCAGATTATATTTTAGAGAGCACGTGCTATCGGTAGAAACGCAATTGGTAATTGCAGTTTGATGCATACTATTTGTTTCCGTTGTTAAATTTGATCCAAACAAGCTATAATGTGGTTGGAAACATAAGAGATTTATATTTATGTACAGACAGTATAATACTACACCTGTAAATATGTAAAAAAATAAATATGTGACAATGTTTAATCTTGGCATAAAACCATATTAATTATATTAATTAAAAGCTGGCAATTTCCCGCGCGCCTAATCTAAGTTTCTACGGCCGCCATCTTTAATAAACGTCACTCACATCAGCCGAGTTCAGTAACATATTTACGCGGTTAACTTTAATAAACGCAGAGTACTGGGACCCATGTATGATACACTGATGTTTAATTTAACATGGAATTTTAATTAACTTTCGTAAAAAGGAAGAGTTCTGTGCTATTCTTTGACCCAGATGTAGGAAGGAGTAATTATAATTAAGAGGCATTCGCGCCTATTCTGCTTTGAGATCCAGGACACTTTTGATCTGCCCTTCTCATTTTCTAACTTACATTATTGCTCATAATACAGCTGAAGCATTTTATATGTATTCAAAGATTATTCTTTGTAGATACTATTTGAAACTGCTGAACCGATTCTGACTTATTTTATCTTATGGCATACTAAAGTATCACTGAGAACACATATAACATGTTTTACCATGTATCAATCTTTAAACATTTCCATGATGGAAATAAAAAAATACACTACTTATATTGTCTACCCTCACGGTAAATTTTAGTAATTTTCAAATTACATATTTATTTATAAATATATACTTCGAAAATAAATTATTTTTATTTACATAAACTCTTTGCAAATTCACGTTGACAGATTTGGCGGTTGCGAGAGTGTACTAATGTAGGGTTGTTGGTGATGTTTCGCTCATGAGATTAAAAAACCGTATGACGGGACTTTAAGAAATGAAAGAAAATGCAGAGACCCCGCGGAGTGTATTAAGACGCGGCCACAGCAAATTAGCAAATTAGAAATGCAGCCGTCTTCGCTATGAAAGATATCTCCGTAATTCGTTTTCATTTTTTTAGTACGGGAAACAGTTTTCACGATTTTCTAAGTTAAAATGCCCTCAGACGTATGTCAAGTTAGACATACGTCTGAGGGCATTTTAACTATTTTTTCGTGAAAAAAATCACTGTGGATTATATTATCATTACTCAAAAACCTGTCTGACTTTTGACTTTATAAATCGACACTCAACCATATGAATACTATTGTGAAGTTGAAAATTCTGTAATGTCATTTATATCATATACAGCGTGTCGTTACCATCGACAATAAATGAACACACATATAGGGGATAACTTTTTAAAGTTGTATTAAACATTTAAATTCTTTAAACATCAATATTTACAGAGTTATTAAATTTTCCAAAAAAAAAAGAATTTTAGAACAGCCTTACCTATAAAAGCGTAACGTAAAGTTCATTTGTGAAGGTCACAAAGCATATGAATGGGTTGAATGAATTTAAAAGAGACAAAACATACTGTTAGAAGGAGAGGCTTGTAATACGACGCTGTGGCGCGAGTTGTATAGGATGTTACAAATTTTGTTTCTTTTTTACTTAATTAGTTTGTTTGAAAAATATATTTTTTTAATTATGAATTTTGTTTAACGTTAATATTTTTTATGATTATTGGCAAGTAGCGTTAGACGTGTGTTCATTTATTGTCGCGATGGTAACGACACGCTGTATAATTTAACCACAAGGAAAATAAGATCAAACTCAATCGTCTCAAACTGTACTGCAGCTTCGGACGGTATATCGAATACCCCAGTTCGCGGAATTATTATACCGCAATAAATTTCACGTGCCCGATGCTGTCGTGCCAATGTCCCCGGGGGAGCGGTGGGCCCGGAGCCACCTTCCCGACCGTCCAGACATCCCTGAGGTCGCTAACCTTGAGCGGTAGAGGCTGCCGAAGGCAGATTGCGTTGAGTACAGGATATTGCTTCGGATTTTTTTCGTACATTTATTGGTAATGTTAAGTCCTCAATGATATATAATGTTTTCCGAGTTGAGAAAGACATAAAATTACTTTATACCGGGAATTACATTGCACAAAGTGCATGCTTATATAGAATAACTACTTTCGCTACTATACAACACCAAAACTAAATGTTTACACAATACGCAAATCTTGAAGAAATTTTATTTATTAAATTGATTTGGATTTTACCGGTGTGATATATAATTCTCTGATAGTTAAAATTTGATTTAAAAACTAGAAATAATCGTGAAAAGTTGCAGAGAAAGATATTGAGTACTTTAAATCATAAATAGATTTCAATGACGATGTCTAAATATGCAATCTGTGAATTATTTAAAAGATTTAAATAACCGACGGATTGACAGTGCATTGCGCGTTTTATAATATTCGTTTATAAAATACCAGCGACCTGCCCCCGCCTCGCATGGGTGCAATATATAATACACTAGCTGCTGCCCGCGACTACGTCTGCGTAGAATAGACTGAAGGCGTAACATTCACACAGAAAGATAAATATAAATAAAATTAAAATTATAGCCTATGTGTTATTCTGATGTATGAGCTATATTGTCGTAGTTTCATTAAAATCCATTCAGTAGTATTTGCGTGAAAAAGTAACAAACATCCATCCATAAATACAAACTTTCGCCTTTATAATATTAGTAGGGATATGAACCTTCCTCTTGAATCACTCTATCTAGTAAAAAGGACCTAGCGGGTGTTGCAATATATATATATAAACTACGAAGTTCGTACCCTTAGTAATTTCCTAATGTCAACTCCAATCAACATACCTGAGCAATTAATTTGCATTTATGAGCACATCAACGCTACATCGTTGCTAAGTAAATATCCACACATCTATCACTTGTCTTGGTGTTTGAGGGCTTCTTGGAAATTTGATGGCGTCGGAGGAAATTCCGAGTTCGAGTATTTATCAACAAATAGTACCGTGTCTAGAGTACGGCAAAGTTGGCGGCATCTCTTGTTTGTTGTTTTGAACGTTTACCAAATGTGTATTAGATATTAAACAGTGTTGTGAAAATCTTGAATGTCTTTAATTCTTTATGTATTCTTTCTAAGTTCGAATTGAAATAAGCAAGATAATGTATTCAATGTTTTTTTTTTTATGGGAAAAAAGCAGCAAACGAGCAGGAGGCTCACCTGATGGTAAGTGATCACCGCCGCCCATGGACATCTGTAACACCCGAGAGCTTACAAATGGGTTGCCGGCCTTTAACAGGCACTAAAGGGATTATAGAAAGACAGTGATCGCTTTTCATCAAGCTCATGGTATACGAACGACACATGAGATGGGATGACATCGGGTTGTATTTTATGGGAAAAAAGGTGGTAAAGTGATAGAACCACCGCCGCTGAACATTTGTACAAGCCAAGGGATAATTCATTTCAAGTTATTAACTGTAATTTTCTTATTATTAGTGACCTAAAATTGAGGATCCACAGTCCGAGCTTCTAGGCCACCACTGCCTCGCAATTAACAATTAAATTAAGACCGCCGCGTAAATTATAACGGAACCGGAATTGAAGTGCGGCCGGCATACTTAATGATAATTTAAATTACACTTTAGTAAAAGTAGTAATTCAAAGCTATATACACCCAAGCTAATGAGAATAAAGTTCCAATGAAATATAGTACGAGAAAAATATATTTTTAAAAGAATTTTGTAATTTCTAAAATAACATTTTACAGTTTATGATTCCTGTTTATGGCGAAAAATAACAGAATAGTTTACAGTTACCTCTTTGGTAAAAAAATGCAATAACAACATAGGTTATTAAGATTCTGCCAGTGCTAATATTAAGTGATATCCACGAATCTTGTGTTAAAGGCACTTACGATCACAGATTAAGTTGCATTACAACTGATAATATAATTTTAGCCCAATTTTCAAAACATTATTAGTATATTCAACTGAAACAACAACTAAAAATACTTGTTATTTTAAGTGTTTAATGCAGGCACATTATCAACGTTAAACACTTAAAATACTTGTTCTAAAATTGTTTTAATATCCTGCAATTAAACATGTTGAATATACTAATAATGTTTTTTTATATTTAACATCTCTTTAAATCAAAAAACCATTTGTTTATAAACACTTTTTTACATATTATGTACCTTTCAGTGACAGTGCGAAATATTCTCAGGGTTTACTCAAACATTAACGAGTCAATTCTATTTCAATTGATTCAAACATGTGTTCATATACACATAAGATGACGGTGGTAGGGCCATGCAGCAGCCTCGGCTAAGTACCACGACCGCACAGAAGACCGGCGTAAAGTGGAAGTATTACAAATACTTTCGCGTTTCGTCTGGTAAGTGAGGTAGCCGGAGCCCAATTTTGAAAAGGTTGTCAACGCCTCTGTAACCGTCGGGTGTAGCAGATGTCCATGGGCGGCGGTATTCACTTAACATCAGGTGAACCGTCTGCTCGTTTCGCAATTTTTCACATAAAAAAGAGAGCTTACAAATACCGCACAAATGTTCATCTATCCGAAAGCAGACATTTAAAGAAAAAAAAAATCTCAGGTCAGTTTAGGTCAGGCTTTTTTCCGAATTTTTTGACAATCAATAAGTAAATGTAACGCTTCTCTATTGAATAAAGATATTAAATTTGAATTTGCACCGTCAATAAAATAATCGAAAAGTCCAAAAGGGGGCCCGAATAATCTGGAACCGGTCTCACCTGATCCTCGCAGATGTGCCGGCTCGAGGCAGCCGCCGAACGGTAGTCCCTCACGACGCTACTGTAAATATTTACCGGCACCGACACCTCCCCAATTGCTTTCGGCGCGCGCCGTTCGCGCGATAAACGCACTTGCGCCCACGGGCTACGGCTCAGTTTCCCGCACGCGGACCGACCGTAACTCCATCGGCGTCTTCTGTTTGTGTTACCAAACAGTGAGTTAGGAACTGGTTAACGATTGTTTAACTCGCTCGTTATTTTTAACGCTCGCCCGTTCGGCTATCGCTTTTTTATTGTGATTGCGATGCCCGGCGCGGACGGTCCGCGTAAGGTGTGAGTTCGCGTTTCGGTGTCGCGGACGTAGCGGTCGCGGTAGAGTCGCGTAGGGCGGCTGCTAGGGCGGGCGGCGCGCTCGTAGAGTGGCGAGCGAGTGATCGCGGGCGGCCTGCTCCGTAGCTTTAAACCGCCCCGCGTCTGCCGTACATATCAACAGTAGTACAGGACGCGATTTCTCGCTATGGAATGCCCGATAAGTCCGCGTCGGTTGTTTGCAAATGGTACGGGGGAATTCTCAGGCGGCTCAACACTTCAATATGGCTCGTCGTTTGTTCTTATTGCTAGTTGTAGATATTATCATATTTATGGAATTATAAACCTGGATAATTGTAGATCTTGTTTTCCTCATCTTTAATCATTGTATACCCATCCTTGCTTACTTTTATTAAAAATCCTGTTTGTTTTTTGAGGCATCTTGAAACGTTTACAATATTTCTATATCATCTACAAGTTTTCATTATGGGTTCAATTATCTAATTTCTACGAAAATAATACAAATATTAACAAAAAAAAACATTTTTTCATTAGTCTGTTTATTACAAATGAGAGTACAATAAAATTTAATTAAATCTACTACGAAATTATCATCATTATTATCCCTTAGTTAATTTACTAACAAGGAGAGGAAGCGAAGTGTACAGAATCCTCGCGATTCGGTCGACTAGCCAAAGCTCCGTCCACAGCCCATTTAACTCGGCCGGTGGATGTAAAAAGGTTAAAGAAATACAGTCATTGCAAAGGTTCTTGGCACTTAGAGCGTTCGCCGCATTTACTTCCAGCAAATTTATGCTCTCCGGTTGGATTTGCACGACAGTGGGGTACAACGTCATCTGCGCAGCACACAGCATTATGCAAACAGAATAATCACAAACCCATAAACGTCGCAAAGTAATGTGAAGCCGGTTCCTCGGTCTCGGCAATAAATTTGCTTTCTTAAATTTGCAAATATTAAGCTTAATGTTCCATCAATACTCGTAATGCAAATACTTTCACAATGTGTTCACGTTTCAAAACATCCAATCTCACTAGAAAAGTACGTTTTGAATGGAAACTAGAGAAATCTCACTAGAAAGATTTCTGCGCTCTGTCACCGTTCACTGTCAACTGTCAACTGCTTTTACTTTTTCTTCTTCTCTTTATGTGAAAGTCACGACATGACGGAAACATAAAATCCTCATGTAAACATACATTCCGGATGCAGAATTTACCAAAACAATAAAATATATTCGTATTAATTATTATCATTCTCCTCCTGCCCTTATGACACTTATGTAGGGTCAGCATGACATTTATGGCGACAAAACGCGATGCGTCAGCGCGCAATAATAATAAAGTGTATCGCCGTGATGGCTGGCTAGGTATTAATCACTGAATAAATAAATATTTCAAATGTCCTATTTTTTAGTTCTGCTAAGTATAAAAGCATGTTTTTATTTTTTATTTTTTCAACATTTTTTTAAATGCGCACTTGGCACAATGACACTATTGGGTGAAGCGTTTGAAAAAAGCTAACCCTGAAGGTCCTGATCAGGATCAGGATAATGGGAAAAGCTATTTAAAGTATTGTTGTCGCTGGCAACACTGTACCAACACTGTACCGGATATGACTGTAACTTCTCGAGCGAAGGGACACATGGTCGCATGGACCAGCGGTCACTTGGATTTCGGCCGCGTTCCCGGACGGTGATATAACCACTAGTGCTGCTTGTCGTTATAATAGTTGTTAATATTCAAGTTCAGTAAAAGTTAAAATAGTAGGATCAAGGTAAAAACGCTAGAATTCTTATAGTATTGCATTGTCATGGGTCTTTGACGAGTGTGAAAAGTTTGATTCAAATGAGATCGAAGTTTAAAGATTCTGTTACATTCATGCATACATACAGGTGAAACTAATAGAAGCTTGTTAAAAATCTAATGTGACATAGGTCTTAGGGGGGGGAGGGGGATTATCTTATACAATTGTCCCCTGTACGTGCAAAACACGTTGTTAGCAGTATTGGGTAGCCAATGCCTTGGAAACTGCGCTAACGAGATATTATACTAATGATATTATATACAAATACGAGGCAGATATGACACTAGCGCGCCGAAACTGAGGCACTCAAATCACGCCTATTGGTGTAATTATATTTCAATTGTATAGAAAGCTATCACATTCCGTATCATACGTTCTACACTCAGCGTCACAAAAATCGCACATCTCTGAGTTTGCGCGAAAAATGGCTGTAATGGCTAAAAACTAATTATATTTATATAAATATTGGTATGTTTGAAATGGGTATTTGAATAGCTTTACATTATTAATAAAAAAAATCATGAAATCATTAAAACATTTATCATTATAGAGCGTCAAAAATAAACACTGTCAAATGCTCGTTAGTAAGGACGCTAGTTACACCACCTAAAAAGGGTATAAAAGCGTCGATCTGGATGAAATATGGGTCATAGTCCGGTTCCATGGGTAAATAATGTCAAATACTTAGGTGTCGTCCTTGACTCTAAACTCAAATTAAGACAGCACGTGACTCGGGTCAGGAACCGGGCGGCCTTCGTACTAGGTCGACTGTATCCCCTTTTAAATAAAACTTCAAAAATGTCCCTTCGAAATAAGGTGACCTTATATAAGGCAGCAGTTCGCCCCATCATGACATACGCGAGTCCGGTCTTTGCGCACATTGCCCCGAGGCAAATACATCGGCTTCAGGTCATCCAGAATCGATTTTTGCGCAGAGCTACGGGAGCCCCGTGGTTCATGCGGAACTTCAACATACATGTAGATTTAGAGCTGCGTTCCGTCGCCAATGGCGCAGACCACGACACGTACTCGATTTTTCTGACGATGAGACAACTATCGCCATCGGCAAAATAAAACAATTACGCAAACACATCAGATCACACCGCACTCGCCGGCGAGTGCGGCAAACATATACTAGGTTCCGCCACGTACCTGGCAGGTTTTCCCCCGTTAATGATAGAAGCGTTGCTGGAGTTTCTTCCGCCACTTCTTCTCCCAGCGCCAACGCTTTCCGAAGTGGTAGTAATGTTAGATCTAGAAATTCTCCCAGTCAGATAATAGCTACCGATCGAGCCGAGGTCCGGCCCTCTCGGGCACCCTCGAATCGGAATGCTAAACGCGTGCTGAGTGACAGCCCAAGCCGAGGTCCCCTCTCGGGGACCCTTGAGCCTGGTCACTCCATGGAGCGTCCGCCAAAGCGCCCTAAGAGCTTGACGGCCTCCCAAACCGATAATAATAATAGCGTGACGGCCCGAGCCGAGGCTCCCTCGGGAGCCCTCGAGCTTAGTCACCATAACGCGTAATAATAATACGCCGAGGTTCAGGCTAGGCGCCCCGAGCGCCCGGCCACCTCAAGTCCGGCGAAACTGTAAAGGCCCCTAAGCCCAACAATGGCTCATCGAATCAGAGAGAATTTTGTGGTACGGCCACGAAACTTCGGCTGCTGCACGGATGGGCAGGCTCGGCCGGCCAAGTACCGCAGTCTCACAGAAGACCATCGTGAAGCAGAAATATTATTCTTTCGCGTTTCGTCCGATGTGTGAAGTAGCCGGGGCCCACTATTTAGGATTCCGTACCCAAATGGCAAAACGGGACCCTAGTAAGACTCCGCTGTCTGTCTGTCTGTCCGTCTGTCACCAAGCTGTATCTCGTGAACCGTGATAGTTAGACAGTTGAAATTTTCACAGATGATGTATCTTTGTAGCCGCTATAACAAAAAAATAAAATACAAAAAAAAAGAATAAAAAAATCTTTGAATGGGGCGTAATTAACCATTCGTGCGCGAGTCCCACTCGCAACTGTTAAATTTGGCAACTCATCTCACTCTCAGGTGCCGTAAATGCTCAAGGGTGGCGGGAATCACAATATCAAGTGAATTGTTTGGGTTGCGTGGCCCTACCACAGTTATATAGAACAGAAAATTGAAAATTAAATACCATTTGTGAAAAAGCTTTTAACCCTGCCAAGATACAATAGGATTGAAAGTATGTAAGTGCATTCCGATATCCATGGTCGTAGACGAAGGCTGAAGAAATTAAATGTGAACGAATGCAAACAAGGCAACGATAATCTCACTAATTTACAACGTTTTAATTGAACGCGCTGCCTTAAAACGGCCTTTTACTGCGTGCAAGCGTGTCTGCGGAGCGCCCAATACTTGGGCCAGTTAAGCTTTATTGACGATTGTTAAACTTTTACGCCCTTGTCGAATGTTACGGGGCACGGTGTACAACTATTTTTGGGGTTATAGCTTTATGGCCATCAGTAGCTACTTAAGTGCTAATATACCACTCCGATAAGTATTTTATTGTGCGGTCGGCAATAGCAATAAAATTCATTTTGCCTGCCGGCTCGGTGGTCCACGGTTTGTGGGAGTATTTTGCTTTATTTAATGTATTGTAATTATAGCTACTTAAGATTTAAGTATACAATTTGGTTATTCGTTTATGAGGAGTTTTTAATGATTGTGATACATTTTTTGTCGAATTAAAAGTAATAATATTCCCTTGTAACATAGGTTGAGTTATATTCATTAGTTTATATAAGTTCATAGGTACTGAGACATCTCAATATTTCCAGAGAAAGTTAAATCAGAAAAAAGCAAAAAGCTGTCATAAATTCCTAAAAAACACGTGAAAAGTATAACGTACCTTGTGATTTCCGCATAGGCATATTTAATATTTACTTTCTCAAGCCGAAATTATAACTCATGTAATAAATTGATATTGCTATATTTATAGTAATAGGCAGAAACTTCGCTAATATGTATATTTCTATAAATTTGAAAGAAATAAAGAAAAACGCTTTTAAGGACTTGCATTTGTACTTAAATGAAAAGTATTAAAACAAAATATACAGAAAAAGAACTATTATGACGGCATATTGGAACTCCATTTTAACAAATTGCTGCAGTTCTATTACTCCGCAGCGTAAATTGAGCCTTAAGCAAATGATCTGACGCCAAATATCAAAGTTGTCCTATTATTATACTTCTAAATCAGTTTTAACTTTCTACGAGACAACCGACTAAGTCCAGCACTATCTATTGGCAATACTATACGATTTGATTGTTCAGGCTATTTTCTACCACAAACCTTATTACGTAATCATTTTATATCAAGTTGTTAACTTTTAATACTTCTAGAACGACCGCTATAAATATTTTCTCTGTTTGTTATACTCTTCAATGATATTCGCCCTCCAATCTAAATTACTTACAGCAGTAACCGACTTTCGTAATATCAAAACCACAGCGTTGAAATTAGCATAAACAAATTAACTGGGCCTACTTGAGCAACAAGACCCATGGAGGCAAAATCCCAAAGAACAACACAAATCTAATTTGAATATGCACCAATAGCGTCGCGTAATCCACGCCGAGGGGTCGATCCTGACATATTTTTAATTAAACGCCACTTACCCGGCGCCTTGCTGGAGTTTCACGGCAAAATTTATCGCTCGAGGACGTTGTGGTGACGGAGAGTGTAGGCGTCATATCATTTATTTCACCTTTTATTAATAATTAGACATCAACAACGTTAATAAAAAACATTTTATTGATAATGCTCAAACTGTGTAAATGATTACTAATTACATATACCCCTTTATTAATCTCAGTAAAATAATCTACAAATCGTGATCTGCGCCTGTTTGTTGTTTTATAAAAAATTTTACAGATTTTATTCATATAACTGAAGAATGTAATTATCTTTTAAATTAATATAATTTTGTTTCCGCTTCTGCCAGCACTAGGTACACGGCAACTAGCTCGAACATAAGTCATGTGCGACGTACCTACAGATATATCAAAGTCACGTAGATAGCGAAGCGTAG